TAATATAATATACATGAGCATACAAAAGATACACCAGAATATTTAGTTTCAGAACAATTACTTCTTTGAAACTTCATAGTGTGACATAAAAATAAAATACAAATGATTTGAAAATTATTTTGTCTTAAAAGAAAACCACTTCAATAAGGATGAATTTCTCAATGTTAACAAAAGGAGAAAAAAAATTATGGATTTGTAGAATTATAATGAGTGCCAGAAACAACTGAAATATTTAAATCCAACTTACAGATGACAATGAGAACTACTGATAATATACACTGCCTATTGTTCAGTTCTCACATATTATCTTGAACTATTTAGAACTCTCCATTTATCTAGAAAGGATCCTGGATTAGACGGACTATAGGCCTGAGTTTGTATGTCAAATGTGTTACATTTACTCTTTGTTTCAAGGCATGTTCTTTTGTTGCAAAAGAAGTGGAAAGAAGTAATGTAAAGACTTTTTTTTTAAAGGAAAATATTTTATTGTCATTTTTTATATCTAGGACATCAAATAAAGGTGACATGGGAAATCTTAGAAGGAGTTGCAGAGTGCTGGAGGGAAGGGAAAAATAAGAAAAGATTTAGTGTGCTAGGAACTTTTGGCAATTCCCTCAAACATAAACTAAAAAAAAAGTCAAATTGAATTCACTAGCATGCTGATTACCCAAAAGGATTTCATCAAGCGTTTTGGGGCTTGTCTAATGCTGCTCTAGATAATTAGTTTTCCCTAGGTTTATATACACTATGCCAAGTACATATACGAGGTCTATTAATAGCTGACACAATGATAGGAGTTACAAAAAATAATGAAGTAATACCAATAAGAAATTATAATTTGTTATTTTTTGTTTCAAAACCCATGTAGCTGGGTTTCATATCACCTCCTACTGAAGAAATTTAATCTGGTTGGTAATCAAAGGGAGCAACACCTCTAAAGCAAATGTCACAAAGGGTTCTTAACTTACCACATTCTGCCGCACCGTTTGTTCTGGATCCTGTTACCTCATTACCGTATCTGTCAACGCACCAGCACTGCCCTGTGCTTCCATGGCACTGACTTGGTTTGTAATACCCATCTTCATCACATAAGGGGATGTAATGCCCTGTGATATACAAATATTGCATAAGAATACTAAAAACTGCCTCTTAGCCAATGTAACAGTTACAGCAGAAAGTAATTACCTTTTGCTGTTTCCTCATGCCAGACTTTACACTTACTGATTTACTATTACTACATTCAGTTAGGCAGAAAGTGACTGAGTATATCAAATGTGGGAGAGAAAATGACACATATCAGTCTTGGAATGATTTCAAGAGAAAAAGTGACCAATATTCCTTTAAATTTTTCATTGATCCTGTGATACATATTCTTTACTCCCTGAATGTCTCGGTCAAGATTTTCATTGTATTCTGTGGAAAAAGCTCAAATGTAGCACCCAAACCTGAATGGGATGTTCCATAATCTGTGGAGTACAAACAAGTCTGAATAATAAAGGTCAGGCTTCTTGAACTAACAGACTATCTGCTACAAGGCTTAGGAGCTATTTTTATTTAATATATATTTTATAATCCATTTATTTACCTACTAATATCTAATTACCCCACCACAGAAGACAAATGCAGTGTAACACCATTTTATCAACAACAAATGTAAAAAAAGATTGTTAAATTTGCTTTTATAAACAAAATACCTAGGCAAATTAGGCTCTAAGCCAAAAGGGTTTCCCACCAAGAGTACAAGAGATACAATCAGGGACTTATTTTGGGAGGCAGTGATTTGCCCAAGGCTGAATAATCCACTGTTTTTCATTTGGAACAAACGGAGACTTTTTGAAAGAAACACAAAATGTAGACAAACCACAACGAACAAAACATTCATATGAAAGCATTTTGAAGCAGATAGTTGTTGTTAGAAACCATCCTTAGCAGAAATTCAGTTTTGACTACTTTGGGCCAAGCCTTTTTATTGCATTTTTTATACAGTAGCTAATGATAAAATGAAGATTTTACATTTCATTAATATTGATACAGTACAAACTGTTTCACAACAAAGATTTCAATTACTTAAACAATATTACAGGTAAAAGATCAGCAGAGATACTAATTTAGGAGTGCCTTAGACTGTCCTGTCTATAACTGTAAAATCATACCTTGTATTAGGGTAATAAAACAGATGTAATATCTTTTGGTAGGTAAGGTAATAAAACTAAGTTTAACAGCTTTCAAAAACTTCATAAATTTTGCTGCTGGAATTTACTGCGGTCTATCTTTGTTGGATTAATATTGATTTTATGTTGCTGTTTCACCAGGGTTATTTATGTAAGCAATAAAACCTTCAAAAGAATGATCTATGGCTCACCTAGAAGCTTCTTTCCTCCTTGCTGCTTCTGGATATTGCTGAGTTCTGTCTGGCAAGGTGGGTCTAAAATGACATAAAAAATGTTAAACAGATTACACTGTATCTAGGAAAGAAAGCATATGATTAAGTTTTCATAGCTTGCTACGTTCTAAGGTCACTCAAACTACTGATCTTAAGAAATACACGCATCCTGCATTAGTAGTCATGTTCTAAGCTCTGAAATAAAAGAATTGCTGTACCTTGCTACAGCTCCAGAATTATGAATTAGAGCACCACCATAGATTTGTGCAAAAGGCCACTCCCAATTAACCCAGATGTAAGCGAGCTGTACGTGAGCGTCTAGTCACTGGTCTGGAGGATCAAGGAATGGTAGATCAAAATAGTAACTCCACCCTATTTTATCAGTCCACAGAAATCAGAGTGTGACTGTGAAGCTTAGCTTGTGTATTGGTTAGAAACAGGATGGCTCTTCTAATTCTTTCCCTTTTGTCCATTTTAGAAGTCACATTCAATTTCTGTATTTCACATACTACACTAAGAAAATAAGAATTTTCTCCACTGAAGTCTGTAAAATTGTGATTCTCTTGCAACAATTTAAGACTGAATCCCATGGGTACAAAACCCTGTGTTCAGCAAACTAACTTAAAACAGTGGCCAAACTTCAGATGGCTCTAAGAGGCAGAATAGGTATAAAAATTCAGTTTTCCATTCTTCAGAGTTATAGCTTACTCCAGTTCTGACTCATTTAATTTTCTACTGTCTATAAAAGCAAGTCACAGTATGCACCATGAATGGGAAGGAAATAAGATGTGAACACGTATACGTTATTGTTGAATATGTGAAAGATCAAAGACAGCGAAGTACTAATCCCTGAACACTGATACTGTGTACTACATTAGACCATCAGCACAAAGGCATTTCTTGTTCTGAGTCAGCAGTAGTATTACTGAGTTTATTCACATGTGTCTTTAGCTCGTATGGTTGCCAGACAATATTCTGATAATATCTCACTAAAATCTCACATTCTATGAATATTAAATGTGTTTTCCATTTTAGTAGACTGATTACTTAGAATACATCTTTGCCATGCAATTAACTCAAGGCTCCCTTCTGAAATATAGGAAAACTACTTTTTGCCATGGAAACAGAAAAAAAGTCTTCTGAGCTAGTTTAAAGATGAGTAAGACTGGCCTATCTTATTGATGAAGCACACACTTAGACCAGAACCCAGTCACTGTGTAGGGCAATGGGTAGGCAAAAATCACTCGAGTGGTGCTAGTCCAAATCAGACTTTCTTGAATTCCTCCTAAAGGAAAACAGGAGTGCTCACCCTTTAGCCAGCTGAGAGCAGCACAGGATGCACAAAGGAGTGCAGGAATGGCAAGAATACCTTATAATACATGTAGGTGCCTTTCTTGTGGAAATGCTCAAACTCTGGTGACAAATGCCTAGATCAACTGAGGATCAAAAACATATATCTGGTGAACATGCAGTCTCTTGGCTGATATAGCCTAGACATACCAATAGGCCTTTGGTATTATTCATGAGCTCTTATCTAACAGAATAAATAGAAGCTGGAAGACAATAATAACCCCTTACTGAGAGCAGGCTGTTAATTTCTCTTGGCTTTACATTTTAAATGCTATTTACATTTTCATACATTTAAAGAAGCTTATAAACGTTTAGAATGGCCTCAAATATATTGAGTCAGGTTTTCACACTAAATCTATGATTGTTTTTAGAGTTCAGGCCTTAAAAGTTAGCTCTAGTTTTAAAATACTGTTCACAGGAGTCTTAATGACTGAACAAATTTTCAAGATACGTCTTTCCAGACAACCAAGCAATTTTCTACGTGTGCTCCTGAAGACTACTAGGACCTGACATCATTGGATGAGTATTGGATTTTAAGTATTTAGTCTTTGAGTATTTTCTGAGGCCATATAGAGTTTTACATTTCTTGTTGTAAGAAGTGCTTTGATGATGATCATGCTCACTATTATGACAGAGATGTTCATTACCTTTCAAAACTAAGGTTTCAGTCTTTCCTCATATTTAAAGAGTTAAGCTTACAACATTCTGAGGTTCAATTATTTCTTAAACCAAAGGTATTTCCAGTTAATCTGTAATCTAAAAAATGATAATCATTTCTGCACACAGGTACCACAGGCTAGAAGGATCTTTCAAAGAAGATGGGAAATATGCTGAAGGAGAAGAACTAGTCTAATAGGAAAAATATATGTATTTTGTTCTATTGAAAAAAAAATCCTAAATTAGAAACACGGAGTTGCATACATAAGCACTAACACGTGGAAATGTAAAAATGATGAACTATACCTAAAGAAAACAATCCTAATTTACAGCTACAAATCTTTGGTGCTATAAGTACAAAAAGGAATACCACTAACCAAAAGGTATCAAGGCAATATGAGAAAGTTACTTACCCAAAACTCTTCTTCTCAGAAGCTAGGTCTTCAAGATTCACACTTAAGCTTTGCTTCTCAGGATAAAAGCAGCAAAAACTCTTAACAATACTAAATCACTCTGGTGCTTAAAACTGTCAAAGAGAACGGCAGGCTAGAAGTTCAACCAACTCCTTTTGGTCCACAGCAAATCCTTTTTCCTCTCTCCCCAAATCATAATGCTTTCCTCTTTATTTTCCAGTTAGTTCCTGAGTTTGGAAAAGATTTCTTTTAGATTTCTGTACTTATTTCAACACAAAACCCCAGTGTCACTGGACAACTTTTGGGAGTCTTGAGCCAAGGAGAAAAAATTCCTTTACAAAAAATCAGTGTGGTGGCTTCCTTTGAAATAGAAGTGAACGCGACATCAGTCTTTCCGATAATGTGACTATAAATAAGAGACCTAATCATCTTCATCCTTAATCTACTTCCAGAGATGTGGCTGGAATTGTCTTTCTGACAATATCACTGCATTTTTGTAAGTGATTCATGAACCACTTTGCAGCAGCCATCCACAGTTCTTCAATGCTGGAAGTACTGATGTACACCAGAGTATCCCATGTTAATAATACTGGCCCTTGAGACATTAACATTCCATTATGTCAAGAGATGCTGCAAGGCTGGTACAATCAAGCTGTGATTTACCAAATAGAGGCACATTAACAGAGCAATAGGAGTAAAACTGGCAGATTTGACAAAGAATGTTTAGGATTTTTAACAGAAATTTCTCAAGGAGCTACCACTCACACAGTGAAGCCTTCAGCTTTCAGAGATTCTTCATCTTATTCAATTACAAAACTGATTTTCCATTTGTCAAATAAATAATATTTGGCAGAGCCCTTAGCTGCTGGCATATGGTCCACTGCAGATTAGGCCGCCATGTTGTGCCTTGCCTGTACTTGGCGTCAAGTGTTATAATTGTTCTTGGACAACCAAGGCTTGAACTTTAGGGATTTGAAGCAGTCAATACTGCACTTAAAGAAATCTTTCTAGTGATCTCAATTATGTGTTAAGACGCATCACACCTTTCTGCAATATGAAAAGACTGAGGTAAAAAATAAGAATCACAATAATTATTATTCTTCTGCAAGATGGACTAGTTTTAAAGTCATAAATGTCTTCCAGCCTTGACAGACACAAGAGTCTATAAGAAGAATGCATCTAGAGAAGTGTCAGACTAATAGATCCATACAGAGGCCTGCAGTAAAGAAATGCTTAGGTGCTAAGCATAAATATTCCCAGCAAAATTGGGTACTCTCCTACTTTGAAGCAATGATGCAACACAACTGTAACAAGGCTGTAATAATAATGGCATACTGGCAGAAGGAAAATCAACCTACCAAAAGGCTGAAACTTCAAGTGCCTCAGCATTTAGATAAGCACTAAAGTGTTAAGCCAGCATCAAACCACTAAGAAAATAAGTTCTGAAGATGGGCACTAAAGCACTTGCACAAATTGTAGTTGAAACTAGAGGGCAATAGCGACCAAAGTATACAGTGAGACTTGCAAAGAGCAACATCAAAGTGCAGATTTTGAAGTATTGCAGAAATGCATTATAGTTTCTTGAATGTATTTCAGAAATACTAAACCACACTTAATGCAGAATAAGGCTAAGAAAAAATGCAATAAGCACCACTGAACTGTACGTAAGTGTTCAAGCATTAGTCAAGTTGGGACAGCTACTACAGGAAGACCTTCTGAGCAAGAAAGATCTCACTTAAGGATTCATAAGAAGTTGCTTACATTGACTAGAAGTTGTGAGTAATGTGCAGTAATGGGTCTAGTGTACTGTCAAGCATCATGACAGACCTCAAGCAGAAAGAAAGAAAGAGTTGCAAATACTTGTCTGATCCTGACAGTCTCGAACTGTGAAGCTAAATCAAAGAGCAAGAGCACTTCTTAGACAATGACTTAAGCAAATACTATGTATTTTTATAAAGCACAATGGAATTTCTATCCCAGTAAGATATAGATTGTTGACTAAATTTTGCATTCACTTTGAACATTGTTAATCAACAGCAGTGCTGTAAAACTGTAGATCTGCCCAGGAGGCACCTACTAAGGTCAATGAACACAGAGAGCTGTCTACATGACCTGAAGCATTCTGTTAATATCCACTTATTTTAGTAAACATCAGAAAGAAGCCATTGAATTTCTCTACCTAACCTCTCTTTGCTCTTAATAGCAAAGGTCTCGCTAAAGGTCTTATTTCGATTATTCAATCAAATAAGAAATAACTAAACATGAACATATATAAAGTTTAGCATAACACTGCTAAACATGAATAGAGAATTCAGAGAGTCATTCATACACTAGGGAGTTAGAATTATTCTCATAGAGGTAATAACAAGAAACAACACAAGAAGACTATAGGCTTTTTTTTTTCTCCTTACACCTTCAGAAAAGAATATAGATTTTGTTGACAGTGTTAATTTGGAGGGATGGAGCACATGTTTGATGTGCAAGGATTGTCAAAACTGAGATTTCACCTCATTTACAATGTTGAGGATACATCTTTTTCACGAATATGCTGACACACATTGCGGTATTAAAAGCCATCTAATGTGTTTTATATCAGCACCTCATCACAACATCATGGTCAAGACAGCGAGGAAACTAGTAAAAAGGGAAGAAAAGCTTGATAATGTTGGATTCCCCAATGGGGGAGAATCAGTGTCACTGAAAGCCCGATCCAAGATTTTTAGCCTTCGGGGTAAGATTAATATAATTTAGTAGTGTTTAGATCAGCCCTTACAGTGCTACCCTTGGGTTCTAGCAGTACATTGAGCAAATACTTTAGACAGTGTTTATAGGCATAAAATGCAAAACTACTTGAAACTAATCTGTGGACGTGCTTTGTTAATGCCCTGGTTATTCTTTACACTCATTATATGAAATTGGTAGAAGAGGCAATTGGTAGAAGAACCTTGGACCATACTAGGCCATATGTTACGTGCTGTAATTTTTCTGACAATAGAAAAGAATTATGGTGCCTTCCAAAGAGTAAAAGTGTTTATATATTAAGCCAAAATGATTGTAGAGAGTTTGTTTGGTTTGGTTTTGTTTTTTTTTAAGATAAGCAAACAAAACATGTTTTGCTCTTTAGTGACTGCTTTACTTCTGGGATAGGTTATTTTTCATTTACTAATTTTGGTAGCAGTAAATACATGCTTATAAAAATAAAAGTCAAAATATTATTCTACTATTAAACAAACAAGGTATTTTGAAAGATTACATGTTAAATTTTTAACTACAAAGTTACTAAAGAAAAGAAATCTGTTGTTTAGTATGTATCTATGGAAGTACAGCTTTATTTTTGTTCAGATTTACAACTGGCATGTGTGCCATGATAAAAATCTTTATTTCCATAGAAATCAGAGTCAAACCATAGCTGTTGAGTGCTAATGAGAATTTATCACAAGAGTTTTAAGGGCATAAGTGAGATTTAAAAACTGATACTAAAATTTTCAAAAAGGCTGAACTGACTTTGAAAACTTTCCACTGAATCAGCCTTATCTCCTCTACTGGCAGAAGAAATTTGGATCCTAGTTGCTATTCATCCCTTTGAAAATATCCCTCATGTTAGTAAGAAAAATGAAAGGACAATTCTGTCCAGTTTCAACCAATATTTAGTGAGTAAACTCTTTGATTCACTGCAACTAGTTTGATTATATAATTTTAGGTGATGTATCACCTAGATCTAAAATTGTTACATGATACTCAGGAAAATAATGCTATTAGGTTGTGTCTATTTGTTTAACCAAATCACATCAGGGCATTAAAAAGAGATTAATGTAGGCAGCAAAAATCAACTGGTTTTAGGTCCGAATGATTGGAAAAGACTTTATCCATAATGTCCATTCAGGCTCAGAAAATAGAACATTAAGATGCCCTATTTTAGCAATAAAAAAGTTTATTTTAATGCAGGTGAAGTGTATTCGGAAGGAAATAATGTAAGTAATTTTGTTCTTTATTTTGGTCTCTTTCCTCTGCATACTTACTGGAAGCTGGCATGAGAAACAATATTGCTGTAAAAGAATTAGTCACTGTTTTGCACTTTATTTAGATCTTTGAATTTCTAGCAAGCCTTTCTATTTAGCATGGGTTGTTTGTTGTTTGGTGTTTTTTTTTTTTAACTTCATTTTAAGTATTCACAATAGGTCAAAAACCTTAACACAAATTCATGGTACAGTATTTAAGATGTTGTAGTTCACTGTAATCTTCTTAATATGTTAAAAAAAAGATAAAGCATTACAAAAAGGTCAGTCATAAACACAAGCAGGTTGGTCAAGGTCAGTCATAAACACAAGCAGGTTGGTCTTATCTTTTACCTTGCTGTCTTTGGAAGCAGTAGCACCACTCATTGTTAGATATCAAACTGTCCTTGTATGTGTCACAAGAATTGAAGAATGCCCTGGTGCATGGCTCATTCTTGTCAAGGTAAATGCTTCCAAGTTCTGACTGGTCCAACAACAGGTCATAGTTCGTATCAAGCCTGTTAAACATCCAGCCAAGGGAGTCTTTGCAAATTGGCAAAATGCTGGTATCAAATCCTAGGAGGCAAAAAAAATAAATAATAAAAATCATAGAGCAGGGAAGATACAGCATCTGCTGAGCTCAGCCGCCACAAAAGAATGCTGCATCATGGAAATTGCTCCATTGGTACATAGATAGAGTACATAAACACTGTATGCTATTGAAATACTACGTATAAACTATATGGCAGCTTTATTTTACAAAATCATTAAATTAACCTGCTAAAAAAAATTAATCCTACTATCAGTCTCAAAGCATTTAGAAATAGGAGTCTTCTTGTCAAACATTATACCTATAGCATGCACATTATGTACAGTACTAAATGATCTACAGTGATTTCCTGGAAAATAATTCTGTTGAGAAATTTCAGTGATATTATAAATGAAGAGAGTGAAGCTTAAGTGGTTTGCAATGTTTACAGAACTCAGAAGAGAATAAATTCCAGGTAACTTGTTGGAGTCCATTTGCTTCTTCCTATAACATATATTCCGTTCTATGAAAAAGGAACATGATACTTAGCCTCAGCAATGTCTTTCAAGTTACAATATTTTATCTTTATCTGATGTACTTTACATCTTGGAGGCGGCCATGGAAAAGATGATTGCTAAGAGCAGCCGGCTGCCAATATCAGACCTACTAACACAGCTTACATCTTCCTAAATTGTTGCTTGGAAAAAGTGCCCTGAGGAACAGGCTGAGTTAATGATTCCTGTAGCCGGAGCTGAGATCTCATGTTTTTTTTTCTGTATCAACTGTAAAGTACACGCAGACTTGCATATGGACATGGATGGGAAATTCAGAAACCACCAAGGCTCCTGCCTATGTAGAAGACGTGAGCTGCATTTGATAGACATGCATTTTTTCCTGTTCATGTGCTAGGGTCATACCATAGGCTTATGGTGCATGCGGCCAGGCAGTTCAGTATAAGTCCTAATACAGACTGAGATTTTGTGCTAATAATACTATTCTTCTAAAAATTTTTAAGATAAAGCTGAGCACTGAAAAGACGAGATTGGTGAATATGGCTATAGAAAAGTTGACATGAGAGCACACCAGACTTCTCAGTTTCTACTACTGTTAAAATCAAGTCTGCCTGCCTTAGTTGTTGTTCTGAAAACAATAAAGAAATCTGAAAAGTGTTTCTATACTGCTAAAAGAGGTCAACTTGGATAACTCAGTAATCAGATCTAGAAATCAGTAGATTTTTCTTCATATATATATATGTATGTGGAAATGTCCACGCTATGGTAGACCAGTCATTTTGGAATTGAAAAGAAGCAAGTTGATAGCACCAAAAACTCCTTGTGGAAGTCAGACAACCACATAAACACTCCTTCCCCAGAATTCCTAAATTAACTATGACTTTTTATCAGAGCAGTCTCAGTTTTTCTTGCTCCCCGTTGATCTGTCCCATTCATTATTATTTCTGCTTGATAGAAAGAAAAAAGTAAAAAAAAATAAAGGAAGTCATTTAGTATGTATGATATTTTTGACATGTTTAACACAATTTAAAAACATAGCCAAGAATTCAACCAATGAATTCTCTCTTCCTTTCTCTCCAGCTGCTGATAAAACATCAAGACAAAATAACTTATTTTTTGTGGATTAGGAAGAGCAGAAAGAGAAAGGACCCAACTGACTAAATAAAGATATATAGTAGATGTGTTATTCAACTTTATTTGTAAAAGATATCAAAATTATTTAACAGGTGTTTCTAATTTGAAAATTCTGGAAGGTTCCTCCACCTTAAAACATTTTGTCTAAGGATAAATGTTCAGGATAACACCATTTACCTCTAAGGCTCTATTCTTGAAGGCCCTTTAACACTTCCCAGACATTTCTCTCTGCTAGTCTGCTTTTAGCTAGAGATCGTTCTCAAAACTTTGGATTCAGAAAGGCGTTAATGTGAAAAATAGTTTCGTATCCTGCCTTTTGTGTACCTGCATGAAGGGAGGAATTATTCCTGTGCTCACAAATTTTTTCTAAATTTGGCATTTTGGCCAGCTCACCAAACTGTAAGACAGGTTGCAGAAAAAAGACAACCATGACAAAACAGATTTTTATGAATAAAACGCCAGCTAGAAGAGAATACAACATAAAAGCTGCTTTAAAGATATATTCAGGGATGGATCTTGTGGGTCAAAGTAGATAACTGTAGATAATGTATCTGCATGTGGAATTTTAAGCATAAGTTTATTGACAAAGGCATCACTTTCAAGCTTGGGATAAAGTACTTTTAAATCGGCATTTGTGGTCCATCCTGGAAAAGCTCACATCATTGAGTACTTTGCATTTTAGGGCACTAGAAGCTAGTGTTACAAATTTAATAAACTCCACTAAGGAAAGGGGGAAAAAAACCAAACACCTGCTTATTTTATTCCTCTCAGTCAGTTTCAAATTTTACTCTAAAAAGAAATAAATTTATCTGAACAATAGTGAAAGACCTCTCAATTTCAAAGGTTTTATTCATCACTAAATTAAGATTGGAACGTTATTATACCTTTGCAGAAGATTTTATCCCTATTGTTTTCTTGATTCCCTTAGCTAGCATTAGCCTGTGAATTGAGTTCATCCTCTATTCCCATTCCTCACTTTTTTCCTCACTTCTTTCTATATAGCTTTTAGATTTCCTAAAAAGTGTATCTAATAGTGATGTCCCACTGGATTATTGTCTATTACATTTGTCATAGTTAAGGGCAGAGCTTGAAATTAAAACATTTGGAGTCAGTAATATCATTAAAAACCAGGTGATTTTATTACAAATCACTGATAGCAACAGGAAAATGTCATTATGTTCTAATATTTTCTATAGGTCCAGTTAAAGTTCAACATAATTGTAGTTCAATATTTAAATATAGAGTTTGAAGTCTGATATTTAAGCTATACACTTCCTGGTAAACAGGAATATATTATAACTGACACATGAGAATTAATAAACCTACTTTAAACAATAATATTTTACAAGAAACTCCTTTTTGTTATTTCCAATCCTGAAAAATAAAGTTTACATATATTAAAGTTATCCTAACCTATTTATTAAATAGCATCATATACTGGAGAAAAAAGCACTGTGGATCATGGGTTCTAGCTTTCTTCTAAATAGTTGTTGGATGCAAAATTTCAAAAACTAATCATGCTTTACCTTGAAAGTATTTTGCGTTTCTTTTTTCAGTATTTGTTTCTAAACTAGTTTGTACTTCTATTTACAGCCCAGGGATATTTGTTGTTGGTTTTACTATTTTTTTAGTTCTTTCTCCTCTCTAGTATTTACAATTTTAGTTTTTTAAATAGAGAAAATCTCATCTCTTAGTCTTCATTTGACTTGTTTCAACCAGTCAAACTCTTTCATAACCATCAGTCACTGCAGTTTAGTGTAGAAATATCTGAATTCTAGGTCAAATATTAGTTTAGGTGAAATAAACAAAAATGGCTAAAGTATTTCAGAGGTAAGCCAGGCACACGTTGACAGCGACAGAAGTATCTTTGATCTAAAATGGAGCAGTCCATCTCCTCCAGAACTGACATCACATAAAGACCACCACCTCAATTCCGTGTTCACTTTATGAACCCTTAAGACGTTTTTTACTGTGGTAAAGTGAAATTCTTGGTTCAATTTTAAAGAACCTTTAAGGAACTGTCCTAACTTAAGGTTATCAGATGTGCTTTTTCTCTGCAATGACTTTCTTCCTCTACTATAATATTGATAAAATAAGACATCTGTCACTCTTGAAGGTGATACACTTGGGAAAAAGAGTCAGGAAAGCATTTAAGTATATACGTAGAGTTTAACATTTGCTAACATGGTTTGATTCATGAGCGGGTCAAGTGATACAGATCTAAGAATCACAAAATCACCAGGTCACCTAGAACTAGGAAATTAGTTGCCCAAATCACAGACTACATATATTATCACTTCGAGCACCAACTGGAATGTTGTTCTTACACATTTTTCACACTTGTGACACAAAACAAAAACCAGAAAGTAAAGGGGGAAAATTAGCATAGTTGAAGGATAGTATTTTATTCTTGACAATTAAGAGTCAGGACATTATACCGTGAAGAGCAAAAATTGCTGCTCAGATGTCTAAAATAGAAAATCAGATTGTCTCTTTCTCTCATTTTAACCACTTATTTGAAATCTATTTCCATATACCATAATGAAATGGGCTTTTATGCAGCTATTTCTGAACATTGTCTAAAACTACTGTAAGTGAACAAAAGCAGTATTTCGTGTTTAGCTGAATTTCACCTAATGCATATACTGCAAGATAACTTGATCTAGAAAAATGTGAAGTACCAGCTTAAGCTCTTTTCCTCAGCTAAAACAATCTCAAGGGAAATATTACTGAGAAGTATATCCCTCCTCCATGGCTTACACACTCGCATTCAAAACATTTCCTCAAAAGGAACCAACAGAAACACTCCTGTGTTTCTGATTATTTCTCAGGGGAGAAATTCAATTCTTGGCAAATATAACCTGCTTTTCAAGGTAAAACTATTGTTTGCCTGCTTATTAAGCTCATAAGTAAAAAATCTTGTGTACACTGAGGAAGATAGTTTTTGACATTACATGGAAATCAAAACAACATACATAAATATGGCTCACGTATTCCATTATATAAAAATTCTTTATATAATATGACAAGAGAAGTAAACTGCATGATTCTTCCCAATACCAGTACACTATCCAGTACAATAAAAGGCACTGACAAATCATACATGTGAATAAACACATATGCATAGAGTCCTCACTGCTGTCTAGACCATGGCTTTTACTTGTTCAGCATGCAAGCAGCATAGCAAGCAGGTTTTCGTTTGTGATGGATTTGTCTACTATTTTGGCTATCAGTTACCAGCATCTCACAGCTGAGGCCTATTGTGCACAAGCTGAGAACAAGTTTTCCTTCCTTCTGCAGTTTTATCAGGACAGATCTCAGCGGGAAGGACTAAACTAAACAGAGGACTAAGCAGACGTGAATGCTTTCTGTCATATTTGCTGTTCACAAAAGTGCTCTAT